CAAGTATTGTCCTGCAACCACCAAGAATTCGCACACAGGCCCATAGAGCCCCTAGTATCCTACTTAATGTGCTTGCAAATACTGAATGGCAGCCCACAAATTCTGCAGCACCCGTACTTCCCCCATCCACTGCCCAACCTGAAATTCAAGTGGAAACAGCAAATTTAACTACTCCCCTTGATTTTTTTTGGAGCGGTTTTTCATGGAATATCTGTATGCATTGATTGTGGATCAAAGCATTTTATATGCACAACAATTTATTGCCGCCAACCTAAATTCAAACCTTGCCAGACCATTACGGAAGCCAAATTTACATTTTTTTTAGGCCTAACCCTCAACATGGGCATTACTTAAAAAAATTCATTGCAGTTGCATTGGTCCACAGACCCGATTCATCATATCTGCTGCCATGGCCAGGCATAGATATGAGAGTCTAATGTGTTTTATGCATTTCAAAGACAATACACTCTGTCATCCTCGGGGTGACCCTAAATTTGACCGGCTCCACAAAATTCAGCCCCTCGTAAATCACCCTAATCAAAAATTTGCAGATGTCTATACTCCCCAGCAAAAAATCTGCGTTGATGAGTCCCTCATTAATTTTTCTGGCTGCCTTGCATTCAAACAATTTCTCCCCAGCAAGCGTGCCAGATATGGGGTCAAGATGTAGAAGACCTGTGAGAGGGCAACAGGCTATACATATAAGTTTCGGATTTACGAGGGAAAAGCTAGTCATGTGGAGCCCCCCAGATGCCCAGACTACATGGGTAGTAGTGGCAAGATAGTTAGGGACTTGGTGTCATCTTTTTTCCATATGGGGTACCACTTATACGTGGACAATTTGTATTCAAGCGTACCACTATTTAGACATTTGTACAGTCTTGGAACTGACGCATGTGGCACCGTGTGCGACCTCATGTGTGCCCACCTTTAGAAGTGGGTGAATGCAGGGCGGTATATTCTAATGGTGGGAATACCACACACTTTTTCTGGCATAGATTTCTTCTCTTTTTTTTATTCAGTCCACAGGCTGCATATAAAAAAAAAAAAAAAAAAAACATAGCATATATACCCAAAGGATCAGCGACGTACTGGGACATCACTGGATTTGATTGATTATACCAGGATGATGCCTACAGCTGCAGGCATCATCCCAGTATCATTTTTTTCAGCCGGCGATCGGCTTTCATGTAAAAGCAATCCTAGTGGCTGATTAGCTGCAGGATTGCTTTTACAAGCAGCGGGAGATGATGACCCCCCTCCCACGCTGCCTTCCACGGCCTTCTCGGGCAGTCCCATGCCATCGGGGGAACCTGAGAAGGCAGCTGGTGTTTCTGCCAGCTGACCATAGAGCTGATTGGAGACCAGAATGGTGCCAATCATCTCTATAGTCTAAGAAATCAGAAGCTACGAGCATTTCATCACTTCAGTTTTGCAGGATATAAACAGCGTCTAGCATCTGATCACACCGATCTTGGTTTGATTAGATAATGTAAGGGCAGAGGAGATATCTAGAGTCTGATAGACCCCAGATTTCTCAAAAAGAATATATGACAATGCCCATTGAAGTTATAGGGGATATTTGCATTCACTGTAATAGCATTAAAAGTGATCAAAAAAAAAAAAAAATTAAAGGGACAGTGTAAAAATAGTTAAAAACATCAAAATAACTTAACGAAAAAAAAAAACCCCTTGCGCGCACACCTGTGCGCGAGCGTTGACTCGGTATGCCGGTATGTAAACAGCGGTTGAACCATGCATGTGAGGTATCGCCGTGAACGTTAGATCAAGGGCAGTAATTCTAACACTAGACCTTCTCTTTAAATCTAAAATGGTAGCTTGTAAAGGCTTTTAAATGTTACCTATGGATATTAAAAACTTATGCATTTTGTCGCCATTTCACGTTGCATGCGCAGTTTTAAATGTCATGTTTGGTATCTATTTACTCGGCATACCATCATCTTTTATATTTTACCAAATAATTGGCCAATATATTGCGCTTTTGTGCATTAAAAGTAAAAAAAGTGTTGTTTTTTTTTTTAAATTTGCTTTTGAAAAATCGCTGCCTGAGTACTATGTGACATAAAAATTGTAGCACCCACCATTTTATTCACTAGGGTGTCTGCTTAAAAAAATATATAATGTTTGGGGGTTTAAATTAATTTCCTAGCCAAAAATACAGATTTTTTTTCAGGTGAACAAAAAGTGTCAAAAAAGGCTTGATCTTCAGGTGGTTATACAAAGTGATGTGTGGCATAAACTTCTAATGCTAGACATAAAATGCCCCCACCCCCCAAAACGACCCTTTTTTGGAAAGTAGACACCCCAAACTATTTGCTGAGAGGCATGTTGAATCAAGAAAAGAATTTTTTTCTTTTTTTACACAAAACTGCCACTTAAATGAGTTACTGCTCACACATGCCATGGGTATATGTAGAATTACACCCCAAAATACATTCTGCTACTTCTCCTGAGTATGGGGGTACGACATGTGAGAGACGTTTTTGCAGTCTAGCCAAGTACAGGACCCCAAAATCCAATAAGCACCTTCAGGTTTTTAAAGGGCTTTATTTCCTCATTACACTTCCTGACTACCGATCACAATTTCGAAGGCCCTGAAATGCCAGGATAGCACCAAACCTCCCCAAATGACCCCTTTTTGGAAAATGGACACCCCAAGGAATTTGATAGGAAGCATGGTGAGTATTTTGCAGATCTCATTTGTTGCCACAAGTTTTTAGAAAATGAAGAAAAATACAAAAACATGTTTTTTCTTTTCTTTTTTATATTTTAAAACCTTGTGAGAAAAAATGAGATCTGCAAAATACTCACCATGCTTCTTTTTAAATTCTTTGGGGTATCTACTTTCTAAAAAGGGGTCTTGGGGGAGGGGGGGGGGGGTTGGTGCTATCCTGGCATTTCAGGGCCTCCGAAACTGTGATAGGTAGTGAGGCAGTGAAATTGCAGGTGAAATTTAAGAAGTTTTGCACTTTCAGGCTTTCAAAGTGTTCACTGGCTTTCAGGCTCCCAAAAAGTCTCACATATGTGATATCCTCATACTCAGTAGAGGTAGCAGAATGTATTTTGGGGTGTAATTCCACATATACCCATGGCTTGCGTGAGAAATATATTATTTAAATGACAACTTTGTGTGTAAAAAAAAAAAAAAAAAAAGTTCTTGTCATTTTCCAGAAACTTGTGGAAAAAAAATAAATCTTCCATGGACTCAATATGCCTCTCAGCAGATAGCTTAGGGTGTCTACTTTTAGCACCTCAAGAAATGTGATAAGCAGTCAGAAAGTAAAATTTGTGTAAATTCCATTATCTATACCATAGTTTGTAGACGCTATAACTTTCACACAAAGCAACCAATATACACTTATTGGGATTTTTTACCCAAAACATGTAGCAGAATACATTTTGGCCTAAATTTATGATGAAATTTATTTTTTGGGATATTTTTTTTTTTTTGGATGAGTTTTTTTGGGGATATATTTTTATGACCGAAATGAAAAAATATTGTTTTTTTTTTTTTTTCATTTTTTTCTTCAAATCTTTTTTTTTTTTATAGTGCCAGAAATAAAAAGCGCTCAGGTGATCAAATACCACCGAAAGAAAGCTCTATTTGTGTGAAAAAAAGGGCATAAATTTCATTTATGTACCGTACTGCATGACCACGCAATTGTCCGTTAAACTAGCGCAGTGCTGTATAGCAAAAAAATGGCGTAAATTGCAGTATCTATACCATAGTTTTTAGACGCTATAACTTTCACACAAAGCAATCAATATACACTTATTAGGATTTTTTTTTTACCAAAAACATGGAGCAGAATACATTTTGGCCTAAATTTATAACTAACTTTGAGTTTACTATATTTTGTTTAGCTGAAAGTAAAAAATATTGTTTTTCTTCAAAATTTTGGGTCTTTTTTGTTTATAGCGCGAAAAATAAAAAGAGCACAGGTGATCAAACACCACCGAAAGAAAGCTCTATATTATTGTGTGAAAAAAAGGACGTAAATTTCGTTTTGGTGCAGCATTGCATGACCGCGCAATTATCAGTTGAATTAGTGTAGCGCCGAGTAGCAAAAAGAGGCCTGGTCATTAAGGGGGGTAAATCCTCTGGAAGGCAAGTGGTTAGGGTTTGACATGTTGGATATCTATTTACTCGCTGCAACTTCGTCTTTTATATGTTACAAAAAATTGGATAATTTATTGCTTTTTGTGCCCTAAAATTAACTTGAATGTATTTTTTTACTGAAATTTTGTGTTTGTGACCAAAATGTATTCTGCTACATGTCTTTGGTAAAAATAAATCCCAATAAGTGTACATGAATTGGTTTGTGTGAAAGTTATAGCGTCTACAATCTATGGTATATTTACTGGAATTTCCGCAGATGCTATACTGGTAATGGTAGCGACTTATAGTGGGACTGTGATAGTGTGGCAGGCAATCGCCAGTGACACTAATATAGTTATCAGATATAATACTGTACTAATGGCACTAGTTGGGAAGGTGTAAACATCAAGGAGCAATCAAGGGGTTAACTAGAAGTCTAACAAGTGTAATTTGTGCTTTTACTCACAGATCTGGCTGTTTTTGGTGAAGAAAACGGTCAGATCGCTCTTCTGTTTACACAGAGTTCTGTGTGTTTGTAAAAACAGAGCTTTGTGCTGTGATTGGACACAGCCGATCACAAGGTTTCAGGCAAAATCATTGGCTGAAACCTGATTACAAACTTGTGCTTTGTCTAATCACAGCACAGGTCAGCAGGGGATGCACCCAGAAGCCAGGCGGCGACATATGGGTACATTGCCTAGCATGGCTGTGCCGCCCGCCTGCAGTACATGTATTGTAGGCAAGCAGTTAATTTATCCAAATTGAAAAGTAAATGACTATACAGTCATTTTAACAGATTGAAATTAATGTTTTTTTTTTTTTCCTTCTTCGACTATTTTATGTTCGTATTTGGCTAATAGATATTTGTTTTATTTTGAAGGTACCCCAATGTAGTCATCTTGACAACTTCAAACATAACTGAGAAAATTGACATGGCTTTTGTTGACAGAGCAGATATAAAGCAGTACATTGGGCCACCATCTCAAGCTGGTATTTTCAATATTTATGTGTCCTGTATAGAGGAACTCATGAAGGTTAAAATCTCTGATATTTCTGTATTTAAACTTGCTAAAATTTAAACATAACTTGAAAATGAAATTCACAGTACTGAAATATAATTTTTTTCTGTTTCAATTAGTGTCAGATAATCTATCCCAGACAGCAGCTACTTACTCTAAGAGATCTGGAAATGATTGGCTATGTGGAAAACAATGTATCCAAACTTAGTTTGTTATTGAATGATATTTCACGGTAAGTATTACTGCCTCGCTATAGGTTTACAGTGATGTATTAATTGTACAGGTGTTTGTGCATGTTATATATGAAAGGCTTAATATTGCCTATTTACCATAATGACCATTATATTCAGTCATGAGAGCCAAAGACCTAAATCTAACAAGCCTATGGCTAAAAGTCATGATTATTACATACATTGTAGCTGTAAATTAAGCTGATAGGTATGTTATTTTTTAGGCATTTAAATGGAATTACTTGCCATCATTATTTCATTAATCATTTTTAAATCTACAGAATTCCTTGCTCATCAGAAACTTCCTATCAGGGCTGCAGTGAAATCCTATCTTCACTGACTGTGAGCGCAAAGTTGGTTGACACAATAATATGTTATGCTGGTCTTGCACAATCACTAATGTTTTAGGATCTGAGGTAAAGACATTTGAGTCTTTAACATTTTTTTAAATTATTTTTAGCCAATGGAAATCTAGTTACTGCTATGGAGAAAAACACAATATGTGTTTTTGCACGTTTGCACATTTTTTAGCTACTCCTATTGATGTCTACTGGGGTAAAAACGCTTGAAGCTTGTAGCACAAAAGAGCCTCATGTACTTTTTCAAGCTTCAAGTGACACTATGCTTTGATGTGAACAGGCACAATTGTAAACCAGGGCATTGTAGATCTTGAGAGTTTTGGAGCTACAAACTATAAAAAAACCCCCAGGTGTGAATAGGGCTTAAGACTTTTAACATATTTTGTGATGTAATGTATTTAGCAGAATTAAACAGAAGATCTATCTATCTATCTATCTATCTATCTATCTATCTAATCAGTACAGAACAGGCTAACGTTTGAGTTACAGACTGATACCTTCAGGTAATAGACCACTGGCAAGCTTTTAAGGACATGTCCCCTGGCCATTCCCTCATAACCCTTCCCTTCCTTTGTTAGTCCTATGTTTGTTGCTAGTGTCCAAAGGTGATGGACCTCTTTTCCCTTATGAAGTCATTTCTTAGCTTAACTATTTAATTATTTTCTCTTTGTATTCTCCAATTAACTCTTCACGCTCTTCTAATACAGCAATAGAAGTAGTTCAATCTTGGGAATTGTACTCTAAACACATGCTGTGGGAAAGGCCTATAATGTTACTTTGGTCACTGGTTCCTGCATGAACACTCACCTTAGCACCATAGTGTAACAGGTGTAGTTAGCTGCAGAGTGCTTTACAAGTCCAGAGACTTGGTCCATTGTTATGGAATGCGACCCTGAAGACCTCTTGCGGGATATACCCAGTATGACATGCAAAGCCTGGACCCTACGCAGGGACCAGCAATGTGGCCAGGTAAGACAGGGTTACCCAGTATATCTGACTGTTACTAGAAAAAAACCAGGTCTGTGTTTGGAATGTATTTCCTTTAAAGTGTTAAGTTTTTCAAACTTGGCACTAAAACTCAACGATTCATAGCTTAGTCTCAGGTGGATATTGCATCATACAACAGTTCACACATTTTACTGCTACTTCCACCTATTAGCTTTATGAGATCCTTGGACGTTTTCTCCTGCCCTTTTACCATGAGGACTTCGCTACAGGATGGTCTGCACCGGGGTTGCTGTGTATTCCTCCTCAGATGTGCTTACCATATTTCTGCACCCTACTCTGTGAGTACCCCAAAGGGGAATACCCTCTCTCGTAGCAATGGCGAAAACATGCAAAAGGGAGCCATGGCAAAAGCTCAGGTAAACATTCACTCTAATCAACCAAATCCAAAACACATATACGCTGCCATGCATTACGCTTATGTGACCAAAATATGTATATTCAATTTGAGCTGCTGAAAACCACCTAGTGTAAGTCACCACCAGGCACTTTTAAATGCTACACTATGCTGGCTCCTGTGTGCCTCTGAATTAATTTGCAGTGATACAAAAGGGATGCAGCAGAGTCCTTAAAGGCACAGCTGCACAATTATAAAGTGAAGTGGGCCGGGGGAGTACTTGTCAAAACCTGAGGATCCGCCAGTGATACCCAGGAGTAGGGAAGGTGCATAGAGATCTATATTTGCACTATATGTCAATATATGAAGGTGAGGGCACATCATAAAACTCAGTTGTGGAACATAGTGTGGAAGAGTTTTGATTGCAGCACTAGGCACCTGGAATCACTATCCTGTATATGTATGCATGGATTGATACAAAAAGTGGCTATGATCATTTGAACTTTGTTTTTTGACACTTATAGTTATATGTGCATGAAATTGAGTGGAGTACCTGTCAAAATCTAAGGGTCGACCATTGATACCCAAAAGTAGGGTAGGCACATAGAGACCTATATTGTACTATGGGTCAATATATGTAAAAGCTCATCCATAAACTCACTGAGTGGTGGAACACAGAGTGTGAAAGAGTATTGCTTTGCAGCACTGGTCACCTGGAATCACTATCCTGCATATGCATGCATGGATTGCCACAAAAAGTGGATATGATCATTTGGACTTTGTTTTATGGCACTTACGGTTATATATATATGCCTGAAATTGAGATCGTTATTTGGTGATGTTAAATATATGTAGTTTTATGTGCACATATATTTTGAGATGCACAAGATGCTTTGGGAAGAAGTTGTTTTTTTTAGTTTTGATTGGTTTGTAATTAATCAGCAGTGCAACAAATTTTCTATGCAAATATTCACTGTGCCCAAGGCCTGCACAACACTTAATCTCATAGTGGCGAGCTTCCTTAGCACCAGAACAGGACCTTATTTTAACCCCGGGCCTCTTCATGAGATTCTAATATATGGCGTGCAATAAGTAACCTACTGGACTAAGGCTGATTTTGCTGCAATTATGTCACCATTCCTCAGACAACTAACAGTTTTGATTCAGCCATCACTCTCCAAGGCTCAAAAATTCCAGGCTCCTTCTCCAACTTGACTGTCTCTACCTAAAGAGGACCCAGAGATGATGCTAGAGGAGAAGATGTCTCACCTCCAGGCTCCTATGCACCTGATGTTATGGCTTTACGCAATGAGCTTGCCAATGTGGATATGCAGTCCTCTGCTGTGCGCAAAAGCCCTGCCATTGAGACACTTGAATCTCCACTCACCATGCCTTTTTGAGTATAAGAAGATCTGCTAAACCTAAAAAGACATTCCATTCATGAACAAATAGAATGGGCAATTTATGATGATTTGGTCACTCCAGAAAATATTTTTACCCCTCTGCAGGACTCTCTCCAGTGGAAAAACAGTTCACTATAAAATCTGTTCCAGTAGTAAAATCTGCTGTCTACGACCTAACATCTTGATGTACCAAGTAAAAATGTTCCTTTTGTTCACAAACTCTGCAGAAATGTCCAACTCTTTGGTGAGGTACTTGACAAATTCATCAAAGATGTCACAGGAGAAAAGTTTCTTCTTTCACAGTGGAATGTTCACAGATCTTCCTCAGGAGACTCTACCTCCTTAAAGTACAGAGCACCTGCATGTTCTACAAGACTTCGTCTTGTAAGCCTAAGTTTAGCCCTTCCTTTCTGTGTAAGACTTGGCCCCACAAAGTCCACCACGTCTTCACCAGATCTTTCTTCCCAGTGAAGGGGCATCTTCACTTCTAAGAGTTGGTGGAGTCTCTTATTGTTGGCTTATCTCTGGGTCACAGATGTCTCAGGCCTCAGGTCGGTGGTTTCAAAGGGCTACAATATAGAGTTCAAAACTCTGCCTCCTCCACTTCCTTTCAAAGCAACCAAAATCTGCCCAGGAACTGTCAGATCTGCAGAATGCTTTAAAGGCTTAGTTCACTTTTTTTTTTTAATAAAATCCAGCTCCCCCTATGCATCAATATACCATTCATGTACCTCAGTTGCAAAAATATGCAAGCTCTCTTTGATCTGGAGAGCAAGACCTTACCTTAGCCTTTGGTAATTTTTTTAGAAAGCTTTTTCAATACTTGGAATATAGACAGAGAAAAGAGGAGCCAATAGGACACTGGTAGCATATTACCAGCTGATCTCATTAGCACACACATCCTTTAATGACCTCATTAGTACACACCCCTCACCCATCAAATATTTTTCACAGCATCCCCAGGATCTCTCCCCACATGCATTTGCCTGGCTACCCCAGCATCTCTACAGATGGGCTCAGGCCGAGTGATTGGATAGATTCTGTGTCCTCCTATTATATAGTTTTGGTAAATCTAAAGAAGACCATACAGAGATTGTATAATCAGATTGTATATTGTATGACCACCTTTTTACACCTAAAATTACCTAGTTGCGCTTTCAGTGTAATTAATTGTTAATGGCACACCAAACACAGAAACAAGCACCCGTTTTGCCACATGAAAAAACATGACAAATGCAGCAAAACATACAGTAAAAAATGTGCAACACGCATCACGCTAAAATGTCCCTTGGGCTACTTTGCCACATGTAGCACAACCCATTGCAATCAACAGGCTGCCCTATGTGTGTCGCTGGAAAGACGAGCTAAAAAACATACTCTACTCTAGGTGTGAATGGGACCTGAAAGTGAAATTGGTGCATTTACACAGAACAATGAGGCTCCATTCACATCTGTGTCTTTCCGAATGTATGGCAATCTGCATAGAGAATGCACGCTTTGCCATTCTCTAGGACCTCCTACTCTCTAGCTCCCTGATCTCCTCCTCACACGCCCGATTGCAGGATTTCTCCAGGACTTCCCCCATCCTCTGGAACTCCCTACCCCAATCCATCAGACTGTCACCTACCCTTCTCGCCTTCAGGAGCACCCTGAAAACCCACCTCTTCAGGGAAACCTACCCCACCCTCACCTAACAACTGACCTCATCCACTCCTCCCACCACTCCATCCCCCACAGCCATTTTCTCCTGTACTACTTTCCCCTCCCTCCTAGATTGTAAGCTCGAAAGAGCAGGGCCCTCGAACCCCTCGTGTATTGTATTGTTTCTGTCTTGTCTCATGTTCTGTCCCCCTCGCTATTGTACAGCGCTGAGCATACCCTTTGGCACTATATAAAAT